AATGTGTATTTTATCAAAGTAATTGTTGAACTGAAATACAACTAAGAAGAAGTATATTAATAGTGAATTTTTTTGGGGGGGGCCAAGAGAGTGGGGACCTAAGCTATAGCTTGTTTAGCTTATACGTAAATCTGGCACTGGTCTTAGAGCAAATGATATGTTATCTGTTTGTGATAAAATAGATGCCTTACACAGCACTTGAAGATAAATCTTTACTCATATTGTGTGTGTGTGTGTGTGTGTGTGTGTGTGTGTGTGTGTCCGTGCAATGTTTTTCTCCCTTGAGTCCAAGAGAGGGTTTAGTCATTTTGCTTTCAAAACTCCTGCACAGCAGTGCATAAGTTATTAATCCAAACCTTGCCTGTTCTCAGAAACTCCTCCAGACAGTGTCTGCTTGAAGTCACCCCACTCAACATTCTCAGTCAAAAAATCAACCAACGGAATAATCAACCAACTGCCAACTGCCAACTGCCTCCTCCTTTCTTTAACACAATTCATTATATGTGTACAATGCAATAGAGTACAAATACTAGCATGATCTGTCTCTGTCGCATCCCAGCCTGGTCCAATATCTTGTACTGGGATTAAAGAATGTCAAGTGAGACAGCTAGGAAGAAAGGCACTTCCATTTCAGGATCTGAAGAGCCTCTCCCAACCTGAAACAAACAGTCCAGGCCAGTGAATGAAACAATTGTCAGAGAGCTCCATAGATGCGCAGGCACTCACAACTTGGGAAATTATGAACTGTTCAATGCATTAACCAGATTTAAAACCCAGTCATGGGTTGTGTGTCCAATGTAGCACCAAATTTATGTCACTTAGTGGTATACAGTGGTTACATACGCTTCAGGTTACATACGCTTCAGGTTACAGACTCCGCCAACCCAGAAATAGTACCTCGGGTTAAGAACTTTGCTTCAGGATGAGAACAGAAATCATGCTCCGGCGGCGTGGCGGCAGCAGGAGGCCCCATTAGCTAAAGTGGTGCTTCAGGTTAAGAACAGTTTCAGGTTAAGAACGGACCTCCAGAATGAATTAAGTACTTAATCCGAGGTACCACTGTACAGTAAACCCGCAATTTACGCAGGGGTTACGTTCCAGAGATTGCGCCCGAAGCTAAAATTGTGTATAGTCAAAACACATCTGGTTCAGTGGCAGATGGGATTGTCCAATTCATTTTTTTCCCCGGAACTCCGCTCCCTTTCTGTTTTTTTTAAATTTTGTGCCACACATGTAAAGCTGAATGAGCACAAGTTAAATTCACGTAAGTTCTGGGCTTACTGTAGTTGCTCCGTTGATGTACAGTGGTACCTCGGGTTACATACGCTTCAGGTTACATACGCTTCAGGTTACAGACTCTGCTAACCCAGAAATAGTACCTTGGGTTAAGAACTTTGCTTCAGGATGAGAACAGAAATCGTGCTCTGGCGGTGCGGTGGCAGCAGGAGGCTCCATTAGCTAAAGTGGTGTTCAGGTTAAGAACAGTGTCAGGTTAAGAACGGACCTCTGGAACGAATTAAGTGCTTAATCCGAGGTATCACTGTACTGTTTTGCACCAGTGGAACACTGTTGCACAAGACATTGCACCAGCCAATTGCTGGTCACCTTGTTGCACAGTAGAACACACAATTTGTTGTGCAGCAAGTTTCCATTAGCACAGCTGCTGTGTTGGAGTCCTCTGCTGTGTGACATTAAAACTCATCTGTTCACTAGCACGAAAGCCCTGGCGCTAGCGGACAGAGAATGTTGGGCACAGCTCCATGTCATGATGGGCTGGTTCTGGTTACATTCCCATAACCTGGTGCCTTCCAGAGGCTTTGGATTCCAGCTCCCATCAGCCTCAGCCAGCAGGGCCAATGGTCAGAGTTAACAGGAGTTGCAGTCCAAATAATGTGGAGGACACTGGGTTGGGAGGTGGCTGAGTTGCAGTGTTGTTTTAAAGGTTAAATACAGAACCAAGGGACAGTGTTTGATAGTCATTACAGCCCAGGGTTAAAGCTATGACTGGAAACTCATTTTGTGCTGTTCTCTCATCCAGCAGTGAACACAGACCTGAGTGGACACTCTGCCCTGGCCATGTCTAGCCCACACGCTCAAGATCCCCCAGAGATCAGCGGTAAGACTGAAACAGAAGAGATGCCTTCAGCGATGCTGCAGGAGCTGCTGTGGTTTTTCCGGAGAGAAGAATGTGAGTTCTCACAAAGATAGCTGTGGCGTTTGCCCTCCTAGGTGACTTCATGCTGGGTCATAAGGAAGGGGTTAAATGAGTGTCAAGTGATTGGCAAGTGGGAACCCAAGGGGAGGAGTTAGAGTTAGTGTTGTTAAGGAGTCAGTGGGTGTTAGAGAAGAGAGAGGGAGGATAAGTCTGTGGGTTGGGATAGTTTGATGTGAGAGAGTGAGAGAATCTGTTAAGAGGAGTCAGATAGACAGTTGGGATAATCAGTCAGAAGTTATTAGGAAGGTATAGGCCAGTAAAGAAACTAAGATTAAGAAACTGACAAGAAAAATGATCTGAAACCATAAACTTGTTAATGCTTATAAAATAAACTTGTTTATTTGGTTTAATGTTAACAACTGTCTGGACGCCGTGTGTACCCGAGAGAAACGGGTTGGTGACAACGGGGAAGCAATCACAGTGGTGGCACAGGGATCAATGAGTGTTGCAGGCCCTAGGGCAGTTCCCACATCACACATTCTGTGTAATAGCTGAGCTGTACACTTACAGAGCTTTTCACATGTAACCTTCGACGTGTGCACAGCCTGTGCATGCAACATTTGAGCTGTACAAGTTACCAAATGTACGCTCCTCCACACATGCACTCGTTGATGTGTAAGAGAGAGCGTGTACCTGTTTTCAATGCAATGTGTGGAGAGTCTTTCTAAGACTCAGAGCGTGGAGACTGAGAGCCCAGGGTGGAGCTTAGAGAGTGAATTAACAGTCAATCTCTCTTCCCAGGGAACTCTGGGAATGGTAACTCTTGAGGGGAACAGGTGCTCCTAGCAACTCTCAACACCCTTAAGAAAACATAGTTCCCAGAATTCCTTGGTGGAAGCTGTGATTGTTTAAAGTGGTACAAAGGTGGTTTAAATGTATAATGCAGATGGAGCCCATGTTGGAAAGGCAGAAAGGGTGGGACAGGCTGTGAGAGAGACAGCCGGACAGCAACTCCCAGGAGCTATTGACCCATATAATCATAGCTCCCTGTTTTCTCTTGCAGCAACGACATGGAATTACTGCATTCTCGGCCTTTCAGTGCTGGTTCTGCTTGTAGGCATAGTCCTCTTGTGGAAAAATATTGCAGCAAACAGGTAAGGATAATGCCAGAATGGAGGGTTCTTGTGTAATTCTCTCCTCAGCTGGGCACGTCGGCTTGCAGAGTTGGAGCTGGAGATGAGGAAGAAATTTGGTTCAGCTTACCGTATTTTTCGATCTATAAGACGCACCAGACCATAAGACGCACCTAGTTTTTGGAGGAGGAAAACAAGAAAAAAATAATATTCTGAATCTCAGAAGCCAGAACAACAAGAGGGATCGCTGCACAGCAAAAGCAGCGATCCCTCTTGCTGTTCTGGCTTCTGGGATAGCTGCGCAGCCTGCATTCGCTCCATAAGACGCACACACATTTCCCCTTACTTTTTAGGAGGGAAAAAGTGATTCTTATAGAGCAAAAACTACGGTACCTTTCAATACAAACTTACCTCATTTACACTTCCTGAAAACAATACTTGAAAGGAAATGCAGCTAGCCTTCAAAATTGGCATGTTTCTGAACTTTTTCATATGGTTCTCATGATTCTTTGGGAGAAGCCATAATTTTTCAATGTGGTGTGATAGTGCAGAGAGGCTGCAAGTTGGAGCTGTGCAGAAGCACCAGCCATGTAGCCCGAATGCTGTGGATGTGTCTCTGCTACAGACTTAAATGGGTTTGAGCCATTTTCTATCCCCAGGAAACCTCGAGAAATATAGTTTTCATTCTCTTCCTGCCTCAAAATTAACCTGAGCCTGATGAATTTATTTTGTTTATTTCTTCTCCTCCCATCCTGCTAGAGCCCAGAAGATTGCCCTCATGCACCAAGAAGCGTATGCAGCTGGCCAGCCTGATGAGACGGAAATGAAGCAAGCTTTTGTGCCTTTGAAGGAAGATAACAACTCAGGTTCCCCCCCAGAGAACTTCCTTCCAAAAGTAGAAAATGCAGGGCAGGTGACGATCCATTGGAAGGATGGGAACATTACAACCATGTTTGCAGATGCGCCTGAAGAGGATGCATAGGGTTACACAAGATTGCCATTAGTTTTTTGGAAATTGGGTTTCTAAGCCAAGCAAAATTCATCAACTGGACCCAAAGTAGCTGCAAAGGGGGGAGGTGTTAATGTTACATGTGGTGCAAGGTACCAAATTGACCATTTCTATTCATGCAGTGGGTGTAATTATAATTTAAAAGTGCTCCTTCAGATTTTCTTTACAAGGGGTTTGAGATGAAAAGAGAAAGTAACTCAAAAGTTGCATGGTCTGCTGTACATCAAGGAGTGGAGGGCGGGTATTATTCTGTACACCTGTATGATCAATAAATGCTTTCCATATTTTCTTAATTTACCATTTGTCCCCTGGTTACATTTTGTGTGTGTTCATTTCTCTAAAAAGGCACATTGCCAAACTTTTTGGTACCACAGGTCAATACTGTATTGTTTACATTCCAAAGGGTCTTCCAGTTCTGAGCTACATCTGCTTGTGCAGGAGGAAAGCAGCGTTAAGATGATCAGCATGTATAATGACTGAGCTATCTTAAGCCCGTTATGTCAGTACCCCTTGCATCTGTTTTGTTTTTCTTTCTCTTTAATTTGCATTTTCGAAAAAGCTCAGTAAAGGGGAGAAAGGGGGAGAAATAACAATTTAAAAGTGCAGTTTAAAACGGTGAATTCTGAAACTGAACTGGAGAGAGTGACCAGAATGTCCAAGAACATGGAATGAATGAATAAACGAACACATTTACATTACAAAGTTACATATATAGCTTTTATATACACAAATGGAACCAGGAGTGGTAATTAATCCCCATGAATGAATGCACAAGGCTGTGATATTACAGGATCGTAGGGCTGAATAAATCAAACCCTAAACAGAGAAGGGGAGGGGGAGGGGAAATTGCAATTGTGTGCCAACAAGCAGAATGAAACAAAAGATTCCACACTTGGCTTTCCCAAAGTTTCCTTCACCAAAATATTTTCCGCACCAGTTGGGTGAAATAGCAATGCTGAATTTAAAGGTCGCCGCTCCCCAAGAAGCATCAAGATAGAAGTTAAAGTTGGTTCTGCACACACAGCCCACTTCCTTCCTACTCCCCTTGCGGAAAAAGAGAACAGATGGGGAAATAAATCAATGGTCTTTATTATGAAAGTGCCGCGCTGGTTTTCTTCACTCTTAGTTTCTTGGTTACCTTTAGAGCAGCATTGCTGCATGTTGTCATTCGATTGCAAAATAATTTGGGGCAAGTGGGAAACAGATAAGACTTAGAAGGGAAAAAGAAGAAAAGGAAGGCATTCTAAGCTAAGGCACCATTTAACTCATTACTTCAGTTGAACAGGCAAAATGATACTGGGTGTTTACCGAGGTCAGATCTAACTGATGCTGGTTTTGTACTAGTTTAATTGCCACCTCTTTCTCCACACACCCTTCCACTGCCTGATACTGAGAACTGTAGTTTCAGCGCCTCCACCAGACTTCTGTACATAAGGCTATAATGGAGGATAGGACTATCAATGGCTGTGCTGTTCCTTCAAGTCAGAGCCAGTGGCTTGGAATCATAGGCGTGAAGAGTGCTGCTGTTCCTCTAAGGCAGCGGTTCTCAACCTGTGGGTCCCCAGATGTTCTTGGACTACAACTCCCATCATCCCTGAGCTCTGGCTTTGCTAGCTAGGAGTGATGGGAGTTGTAGTTCAACAACATCTGGGGACCCACAAGTTGAGAAAGGCTGCCCTAAGGTCTTACTTGTGGATATCCTCTAGGTTGGCCACTGTGAGAACAGGGTGTTGGACTAGAGGGGCTTTGGCCAGATCCAGTAGGGAAATTCTTACGTCCTCATTTTGAGAGTGCTATTGCACTCAGGTCCTGCTTTGGGGCAGCTGGTTAGCCAGTGTGAGAACCAGATGATGCCCTAGATGGGCTTTTACCTTATATTCCCCTATTAGAAACCTCCCAGCCTCACTCACAGATGTTTCTCTGGGCCCTGAAACTAGTTTAAGGACAGAAATAGATGGGACCTCAATGGCACGGATGCAGTTGGCATCTTTGTTCTTGTGAGGTGTAAACAGCAGCCACAGTGGAGCCTGACCAGGGTGGGCTGGGGGCATGCGAAGTTTGCGAAGATTGGTTCTCTCTCTCCCTTCTACAGTCCACAACCACGACAACTGCCCCTTAGAAGCTGCTATTTACATTTCAAAGGAAGCTCTCTTTCTCAGTAGGAAAAGAGCAGAACTTGCCTGCCCCACCATTGTAGTTTTGAGGCTATTCAGGTGTCTTTGGGGCTGTTTTGTTTACATGACAAAAAAACAACAACTTTTTGGGGGTGGGGAGTAGCAATGTGGTCCAATGATGCTTGTTGTCATGTCACACCTCACCCACTGTTGTGAGTGAAATTTAGAGCGGCATGCAGGGGTGCCAACTTGAATAAAATATTTCAAGGGGGCCCAGGTAAGCCCTGCCCTGCATAATCAATCACAAGATGTGGCACACACAAACACCATTTGAATGCCAATGCCCATTAACTTGGCCCCTCAAATATTTTATTGGGGAGTTGGCCCCTATGGTGGCAGGCCTGTATCTTAGCCATAAAGCCAGAGTTCTGTGACACTGCAGTGTGAAAGGAACATTAGAAATCAGTTCAGAAGTGCTAGCAGGAAAACGAACACAATACTCTCCGCTTCTGAATGCACCCTAGGTTTGCAGTGCGTACTTGAATGTGCTGTGTGTGCGTGGTGCCCAGGACAGATTCTCCAGTTTGCAAATGTGCCCACAGGCCCAAAAAAGCTGGTGACCCCTGCTCCAAGAGCGCTGGGAAAATGTACGCAAGGAACGATATGCCATTCTTTCACCAGGGGGCTCTGTGTCCCTTTAGCTTGTTCTTTGGCAGTGTGCTGGAAAGCTGGACGTGGAGCCATCCTCAATACCCAAACAACAGGAACTTTTTGTTTCAACGGCACACGCGTCATGTGCTCCTGCCCACACACCCCAGTGCGTTTGTGCCTGTCCTCCTGCTATCTCCATCTGCTATCTCCATTTCCTAGCCTATATCACACACACAGATTGGCAGTTACAAAATGCCAATCATAATGCAGACAAACTTTGTAAGAGCGACAAAACTATGCAAGTATGCAATGCAATTTCTGCCGGTTGTAAGGTATCCGTGCGTTGGGTGCAGAATTTGAAAAAGGTCTTGGAGCAGCGTCAATACTAATCCTGGTCAAACTGCATGCAGCACAGTCTCTTAATGCCGTTAGCCCTGCAGTTTTGGCATCAGCACAGTAGGCTCTGATGGAGGAGGGAGAAATGTGGTGCTGACCCAGGTTGGACTTCAGTCACTTTGGAAGGGGGAGCAAGGATGCCAGCTCTTCCCCTTTGATCTTCCCGAGGAGTAGAGAGCCTCAGTGGAAGCTGGGGAGGGTTTTGATCAGCTGGGCTGAGGGAGAGCAAAAAGCAGCGCAGCAGTGACTGAACTGGAGCCTGAACAGGAGGGTGCAGCCTTGTCACTGAAAACCACTATTGTTGGAGGTGTTAGGTCCCAAAACAGCAGCTGCTGGGAATCACAAATAGGTAGAGTTGCTGTTCCGCTCATGTGCTACTTGTGTTTTCCCCATAAGCATCTGTTGGTCACTGTGAGAACTGGTCACTGGACTAGATGAATCTTTGGCAAGGCTCTTCTTATGTTCCCAGCATGCTTTGCTCTAGTACGAGAGGCCAGGCGGGAAGCAAGGAAGGCCAGTACACCAGCATTTAAGATGGCTGCTGAGGGTTAATGCAGTCAGGCAAAGGGCCCCGACTTGCTCTCCTATCTTGGAGCAGCCCTTTGCAGGCTCCCCTCAAAAGATCTTAAATCCCTTCAGTAATGTCAACGTTGGAGCCTTCCTCTTGCTCTGGGCCCTGGAGGATTTCACCGTGACCAGCTTGGCCTGGGCCACCGAAGGGATTTCCTTGAAGTTCACGGTGGAGAGAGTGTTGTAGGTGCAGCTGGCCAGGCTGTGCTTGGAGGCCATGGCGGCTGGAGGGACGAGGTGAAGGGACGGCTTCTCCTCGATGATGAACAAGGGGCGGACCGTCATGTGCCTCTCCATCTCCCGCCTCACCTCACGCACCGCCTCGTGGAACATGTGCTGCACGGATTCAAAATCCAGGCAGGCCGAGACTTCGTAGAAGGAGGAGCCGTACTTAGAGGCCAGAGAAATCCCCTCAGCTTTGGTCACCTGCCTGAGAAAAGAAATCAGAAATGGTCACTCTCCAACAGACCATTTGACCTACAAACAACCCCTGCTCAAATGGTGATCTGGGGGTCTAGGCATTGCAAGGCCTGGGCTAGGGACTCTGATGGTGGGTGAATCTGGCCATTTTGGTTTTTCTGTTTCTCATTTCTCATTAAGTTCAGTTCTCCATATTTCAGTTTCTGAATTTGTTTTTTTGTTTTAAAGTCCTCAAGAAAATTCATAAGATTTTTGTGTGAACTGCTCCTAATAACAACATTTTTGCAAAGCATGCTTTCGCTAATATATTCCCTTCTTTAATGAATTTTTGTATGTTATTTCGCATGCATTTTTATGCACACTTCATGCTAGCGTATGGAATTTTGCACACTTTTCTTGGCTGGGGAACTGCATGGCAAAATTCAGAGAAGTGAGAATTTTGAAAGATGTCAGAGTTTCAGTTTGCATATTTCAGAAAATGCAAATTAAGTAGATGCCCCTGCATAGGTCTGACTGGTAGATCATGGGATTTTGGTTTTCTTAAACTTGATTCAGAAAACCTGAAGTCCCCCAGTCCCGAGATAGGGTGCTCAATTTTACATCATCATTTGAACTAAGCAGCCTGTTTGGGGAGCGTCAGGCTTCTTCATCATTCTCATTTATGGGGAAGGGCCATAAGTCCATGGTACAGTGTCTTGCCTTGTATCCAGAAGGTCCTAAGTTCAATCCCTGGCATCTCCAGGTAGGGCTGGGAGTGACTACTGCCTGAAACCCTGGAGAGCTGCTGCCAGTCAGTGTAAACATTAATGATCTCAGTAGCTGCCTGCTTCAAGCATTACCTGTATTGTTCCATATCCAGCTTGTTCCCCACCAGGAAAACCGGAGATTCATGCTGGGCATTTTTCAAGTGCAGTGCTATGATGTCCAAGTATTGCTGGCTTCCCTCAAAGCTCTTCCGGTTGTCAATGCTGTAGACCACCATGAATGCGCTGGCCCAATTCAAGTATCGCTCGCAGCTCACTGGCACATCCTAGCAGGGAACCAACCACATGGGGATTATTAGTGACTATCTGGGTGGTCACTGAGGACAGCATGTTGGACTAGATGGGCCATTGGCATGATCTAGGAGGCTCGTCTTATGTTCTTAAATTGCATTTTAAAATTTATTTACCAATCCCATGCATATCCTGCTCTTCCTTCTCAAAAAGGAGACAAAATTTAAATGACATTCTCATGGGTGGCTGAAGGTTGTTTGTGATTTCATTCTACAAATCATCTTTCCAGTGGTCCACACTCTGCAGCCTTCCTGGGTATCCATGATGAGAAGGCAACATGAGGCAACTCCTCTCATCGGGCTGTTTCAGAACAGGAAATGCAGGCACCTGGGAAGGCTGCGGTATAACTCCTCAGTACAATAAAAAGGATGCTTTTAAGGACCTGGTAACTCCCACCTTCATTTTAACCTCACAACAAACCTGCAAGGTTGGGTAGGCTGGAAAATGGTGACTGGTCCAAGGTCATCCTGTGAACTTAACTGCTGTGTGAGATTTGAACCCAGGTCTCCCCAAGCCTAGTCCCACACTGCACCAAGTACGCTGAATGGCTCTTGGTGTAGTGGTTAGAGTGTTAGGCTAGGGCCTGAGCGACCAGGGTTCAAATCCCCACTTGGCTATGAAGCAACTTGCACGGTACCCATAAGAATTTCACTTCCCTCTTAGCCCAACCAACCTGACAAGGTTTTTGTTGGGATTCAAGAAGGAGGGGAATCCATGTAGGCCACCTTTGGCTCTTTGCAGAAGAAGTTGGGTATAACTGCAACAAATAAATTAAACTTCATAGCTGTTTCCTCCAGAAATTTGTTTATCCCCGCCTCCCGCCCCTTTAAAAGCAACTAAGGACAGCAGCACAACTAATAACAGCAGTGAGTTCTGCAAGTTGGTCACAGGAGTTGTTAGAAGGGCTTCCCTTTCTCTGTTCCGCCTCTACAGCCAACCAATGAATGCCACTGCGTGACCCTGCATTCTAGTGCTACGAGGGAGAAAGAATTCTCTCCATCCCCAGACACCATGTATAATGTCAAAAATCTGCATCGTCCCTTGTTATTTCTAAACTGAAAAACTTTCAAAATGCTTTGGCTGTTACTCACAAGAAAGGTGCTGCAGGCCAGCTGCTAGCAGCTCCCCTCCTCTTCCTCCCGCTTTTGTCCATTGTTTGCAGCATTAGAAACAAGAGCCATTATGCAATTTGACTCCTGATGTGCCTGGGGCCAACTAATCCTCAGAGCCTTATAAGAATGGGGCATTTTGTTCCTGTGCTAAAATAGGTTTGCAGGCTGGCTTTGGCATTCATCCATTTAATCTGTCATTCTGCCTTTCAAAAGAAGGCAATTAAAAGAAGCTTGGTTTTAAAATAAACCCTATTCTATTTACCTGTCCCTAATAAACTTTAAAAATATTCCAGGGCAATGAAGAGGAGAAAGAGGCAACTCGACTCCAGTATCCAAAGCGGAGTGTGCCTCTGGTGAACAGAAATGCTCAAGTTCACAGTAAGATAGTGCTTGAATGGTGCAGTTGCAAAGGAGCCTTTGTGCCAGGACTCAGTTCTCCATTACCTGGTCGGCTGTATCCATGACCTTCAGTAGAACTGGTTGCTGGTCCACCACCTCTTCTGAAGCATATGTGTCCTCTGCAAGACAATGTTTTTTAAAATGGCATTAATCTAGAAGCAGACCAGCTTCTAAACCCAAACCCAAGCCATTACTAGGGTGGTCAACAGGACTGCAATACCTCAATGACTTCCTCTCTCCATATAAACCTACCCAGACTCTGAGATCATAGTCTGAGGCCTTTCTTCATGTGCCTCCTCTATTAGAGGTCCAGAGGGTGACATCGCAACAATGGGCCTTTTCTGCAGTGGTCCCCCATTTGTGGAATGCTCTGCCTAGGGAGGTTCGCCTGGTGCCTTCATTATACACCTTGAGGCGCAAGGCAGAACATTCCTCTTTAACCAGGCCTTTGGCTGATTGACATCCAATGCCCTTTAAAAGTGTGTTGGGGGGATTATTAGGTTGTTCTTGTTCTTATTATGCATTTTGTGTTTTTATCTTATGATTTTATCTTGTGAACCACCCTAAGACCTGTGAGTATAGGGCAGTATATAAATGCAGTAGTAGTAGTAGTAGTAGTAGTAGTAGTAGTAGTAGTAGTAATAAGGAGGAGGAGGAGGAGGACTGGGCTCCTGCACCTTTGATAGTTGCATGACCAGCTGAAATCTTCTCTTCTACACACTATTAAAGGTTCAGGAGTCCCATCCACTTTTCCACCCGGCTACCCTCAAGCAACAGGCTATGTCAGAATGGAGCCTTTCTGTCCAGGATTCATCCAATACCTTTTTCTGCTTGAGGCTAAGTGAGATTCCATCCCATTCCATGGGCAGAAGCCAATTAGGCAAGCAGTTGATCTTATGTCAACACTGGTGATGGGACAGAACTGTGGGTTCCACACAGCTCTGTTTTCCAAAATGTTGCTACTGCCTGCTTCCCCCAGCCTCTACCTCCTGAGTGGACCCCTCCTTCTGCTTCTCACGGTAGGGCTAGCCCTGCTTCCATCCCACCATAATCAAAGCTAGATGAGCAATTGGCTGCAAGGAGAAGCCCTCAATATGTCTTTTGTCTCCTGCCACCTGGAAGGCACCAGTGATGTGTCCTGGGCTTACAGGCTGGAGTGGGTGCCTTCTGCTGCGTCTTCTGTGCTGCAAACCTAAACTGGCTCCGTCACGTTAAAAATGCAAAAGTAGAAAGTGTCAAGTGCTTGACAGTCATCTCGGTCCCCTTTGGACCGATTGGCCAAAACACTGGGATCTGGAATCTGCTTCTTGCTGAGAAAGCAGGTAGAAATATTGCCTGAATGTTTCCTCTTGAATCAAGAAAAGAGATGAGGGGATAGACAGACAGTTATAGTTAGTTAGATAGATAGATGATGGATGGACGGATGGATGGATGGATGGGCAGGCAGGCAGGCAGGCAGGCAGGCAAACTGGCAAACATAATCTCTAGCCCCCTTTCCTGGAATCTCTACATTCAGGAAAGAGATTTGATAGGTCCAGACCTTTGCCACCTCTCTCTCACACACACCCGGCTCTCTGGCTTTCTCCTAAATTTTCCTCTCCCCATCCCAGGCCTCTGGGCTTGACTCAGAATAGTCACCTGCCAAGAATTTCTGCAAGATTACATCTCAACTGTCTTGTCACTGACACACAGATGAAGCTGTTGGCAGCCTGAGCTCTTGTTCTCTGCAGATGCATCAATTAGCAGGGGGGGAAATCCCAGGTCTGATTCTTGGTCCATCTTGTTCAGTATTGTCTGCTCTGACTGGCAGCAGGGTTTCAGACAGAGAGTCTTTCCCTGCCCTACCTGGAGATGCCAGGGAATGAATCTGGAAGCTTCTACATGCAAAGTGTGTGCTCTTCCACTAGGCCTTCCCTCCAGAATCAAGCGAGATCTCCCTGCTTGTATACATACATACAGCCAGATCCTTGGTCTATCTAGCTCAGTATTGTTCACACTGACCAGCAGCAGCTCTCCTAAGTTACAGCTCAGAGTCCTTCCCAACCACTGGACCTTCTTCATGCAAAGCAGATGCCCCATGACCAAGCTAAGGGCTATCCTTTGCCCCTCTACATTTTCCCTGGTTAACTAGGCAGTGCATGGGGTTGCAAAGTTTATTCTGCAAGGACAAAAGAGCCCCTTGCTCCATCTTTTGAAGGGTTTCTCCTGCAGTCACCAGGGACCATTTTCATCTCAGAGGATGGGCATCCCAGAGGACAAGAAACTCCACACTGGAAATTCCACCCCACCTCTTTTCTAGATTGCCCCAGAAGCTGGACAATAATGACCTTCAAAGCAAAGGGAAAACTCTCTCGGTCCAATTAAAAAACATTTCCATGCCCTTTTCATTGCTCTGCTAAATGAATGCCCAGTGATTCATCTAGCAATATATTTCCGCAGAGTAATATTTTCACAGAGACTTCAAAACTGGTGCAGCGACATCCTCCACTCCTTTTCCTTTTGTTGAAAACAAGGTTATAATTGCCGACATTTGAAGAATGAATATTTGGGAACACAGAACCCATTAAAGTGAGGAGGCCTTCAGATGAGTTCCTGGGTTTTGCCTGCATGCATAACTCGCCATAAATCATTTGCGGCTCGTTGCCGTCCTCTTTGAGGTTGGCCTATTAAAAAAAGCAGCCCCGTTTGCTTGAATGCAATCAGTGGGAAAGTATGCTGGAAATGCTTAACATTGGCAGCACAAGGTAATTGTGAGCGCTGAATTCTGGCCCAGCCAGACCCATTTGTTTTTAGAAAGAAGACCCCTGCCAAAGTTAACACATTGCAGGTTTGTGCATTCAGATAGAGCTGTTTCTGCACCATTTAGACTATGTTTAAAAATAAAAAAGGAAGAGAGGGAATCAGGTATCTATATTAGTGTTTAGGCTGCTTTCAGAAGCAAACCCATGGAAATGCATGGCAATCGCATCCTTAAAAGTTGCATAGAAAAGGGACTCCATATACCGTAGCTTATCACACTGCAGAATGTCAGAAATGCTGTACCCTCAACCCTTTAAAACACATTTTCAATGCAATGGCTTGGAAGTAGCAAGCAAACCACAGATTGGACATTTGATCTGAGACCCCATCTGGACTATAGATTTAAAGCAGTATAGTCCCACTTTAAGCAGTCGTGGCTTCCCCACCCCCAAGAATTCTGGGATCTGTGGTTTGTAAAGGGTGCTAGGAAGAGGGAATTGATTGTTAAACCATTTTGGGAATTGACAGTTGGTCTCCAAACAACTCTCAGCACACTTAATGAACTATGGCTCCCAGGATTCTTTAGGGGAAGACAAGTGGGATGATACTGTTTTAAATGTGTAGTGCAGATATGGCCTGCGTCCCATCTTCTGGTACCTTTCTTCTTCCTGTGTCTTCTATGCACTGGCGGAAGAAGAGGAGTGCGGGAAGAGTGCTGGGCGCCACGCCCCTGCAGGTGGCGTGCCCCACCCCCGGGACACACGCCAGCCCTGCCCCCACCTGCTCCCCGCCCCCCAGTACTGGAGCATGAAGCTCTGCCACTGCTTCTATGTACACCCCTGATTTACTGGTTCTTGGCAAAACACGAGAGGGTCTGTGTCTGTGGTAGAGCAGCAGAAGATGGCAATTTCAATTCCCTGCCATTTCCAGAAATTGCTGGGAAATCGAAACCTCGGAGAGCCCATATCAGTCAGTGTAGCCACTATCTGGACAACCCTGTAGCACAGAAGTGACTGAGATGTGGCCTCCCAGATGTTGCTGGACCGTAATTCCCATCATCCCCAGACAGGGATGGTCAGTGGTAATGGGAACTGTAGTCCAACAACCTCTTCAGGTTACCAGTTGGGGAAAGCTGACTATCGCTGCCTCAATGAAATGTGCATGCCATCCACAAGCCTCCCAGCTCACAAACAGTAAAAGAGAGCAACACGGAGATATTTAGAGGGTTTCGTTTTATATCCTGGCTGCCTTGCCTTTGCTTGCTACACAATCAGTGTTTTCCATCTTTGCTTCGTCCCTTGGTATGTGCTCTAAATTTGGCAGTTTGTTTTGAAACAATGGCGGGGGGGGGGGGGGGAAACATCGCAACTTAAAATACCTTGGAATATTTCCGGACAAGCTCTCTTCTCTCCCCCCCATCCCGCCTTTTCTCCAAGAAGGCAGATGGAACGGTGGCTGATGTCCCCCAGAGACCCAACAATCTGGTCTCTTTTCTGCTTAATTATTACTGGACACTTCTAGGACAAACAACCCACCCCTTTTTTGTGTCTCTGATGAGTCCTTGTGGGTGAGAGTTGTAGGTCTGACCCAAGTGATCTCAAAGTGCTATTGCTCTGTTCATCCAGGAGGCAGATAAATTGTCTTTGCATAAATACTGTTACGGGTTCAGGGTACCCTACCCTTTCCAATTCCTGGATCCAGCAAGTGTTAAAATAGAAGTCAGGCCAGTTTCCTGATGAGATAATCACCTGAGAGATGGGCCATTAAGAGAACAAAGGAAAGGGGACTCTGTGCCAGATGGCAAAAGGCTGGGGCCCCTCCCTCAATTTAGGGATTGTTAGAGGGACAAAGCCTGAATTTAGGGTTGAGTTTTGTTGTGATGTGACTGAGAAGCAGAGCAATAGTTGATCCAATAGTTAATGCTGTGAACCCCTCCATTGTAGGCTCAGGTAAACCATTTATCATAAGGACACCATAGTCTCCACTGTGCCTCATTTCCAAAAGGAAATACGAACCCTGGGTGGTAAGCACCTGGAATCTCACACCGCTCAGAGACTGGAGTGGCATGCAAGGATACTTATTCTCAGAGGCACATTTAGAAATACAGTGGGGTGGAAGATAAGCTCCTCTGAGGGAAGGGAGGCACTTCCACCACTGCCCTCCTTTACCCAATTGAAAAGCAAACTTTTCTTGCAAAGAACAGAGAGAGCCAGTGTGGTGTAGTGATTAGAGTGTCAGTCTAGGATCTGGGAGAACAGGGTTCAAATCACCACTGGGTGACCTTGGGCCAGTCATTGCCTCTCAGCCTAATCTACCTCACAGGGATGTTGTTGGGATTCGGTGAAGAAGGGGAGAACCACCTTGAGCAACTCGGATGAGAAGGTGGGATATAATTGCAATAAATAAATAAGTTTGCACAAGCAGATCTTTGGATTTTGAGCATTTGGAGGTAGATGAGCCCCATGCCTGACTCCATATAAGGCATTGTTTCTAGGAGTCCTAAGGTTTCAGCCAGGGACCTCTCCCAGTCCTACCCAGAGATGCTGGGGATTGAACCTTAGGCCTTCTGCATGCAAAGCATGTACTATATCACTCATCTATGATCTTTCCCCTAATGATAAAGCAAGATTCTAGGCCTCATGGTTCTGAATAAAGGACTGATTTAAAAATGAACATAGGAAGAAGGGGAGGAGGAGGAGGAAGGAGGGGTGCAAGGGGAATCCATGAGATCAGAGCAAGGTCTTCTTACCTAGGTTAGGATCATATTCGCTTATAAACCTCTTGGTTAGAAACTTCACTGTCAACGCTGAAAGAAGCCAGAGAAAGAGAGAGATACTTAGTTCCAGCAGTGAGTCCTCACCAGAAGAGCAAGATTACTATTTTATTTTATTGCTGAAATGGATGAGAAAGACCTCAGTTTTGCACACAAGGAACGGACCCTTCTGCTTGGGACCCTATCCTGCGAAGACCTACCTTCTAGCCTGCAAGCAGTAGACATGAAGAGAGAGCAGTTCCGCTTTTGAGCAGGTGCATGGGCAGTACCACAGCTGGGACTTCTGCAGCAGATGGTCCCAGGGCATGATGTGAGAGCTCATGGGACCATCACTTTGCTGAAGCTAAAGCAGATTGGGGTGTTTTTGAGGAGTAGCTAGCATGTGGCCTTCCAGGTGTTGTTGAACTACAATTCCCATCATCCTTGACAGCTGGGTGCACCGGCTGCGGCTGGTGGAAGTTGGTGGAATCCAACAACATCTGGAGGGCCACAAGTTAGACAATCGTAGTCTTATCAGTGCCTGGTTAAGTGAGCTCCTTGGAACCACATGAACATCACTTTGGGTTCCAGGATGGACGAAAGCTGTGATATAATGGGGGGTGGGGTTTTTGTCCCTTTTCACCACCTGAGGAGAAATGGGAACGTGCTGCTCCCTGTGCGAATTAAACAGGTTCAACTTTACAAGTGAGCTGAATTACAATTTCTTCCCCCTCCCTACCCCCAGGTCCCCCAACATCTCCTAACCTGATTTTCCAGATCCTTGACACCCCAATATGGCCACGTTGCATTCCTGGGGAAAGGTGTGGAGATGGCGCTCATTCGCACAGTGGGCTGTCCGAGTCTTGCTGAACATGGAAGACATCCTCTGGCTGTGGGAACAGAAACAAATTTGGGGACATCCTCTGGTAGTAATCAGTTCGTTTTTTCTCTTTCCAGCCTGTCCCGTTGAGACAGCCTCAAGTAACAGTCACACTACATATTAAAGCACCAGGATACCATTTTAAACAGTCATGGCATCCCCCAAAGGATTCTGGGAGCTGTCATGTGTTAAGGGTGCTGAGAGTTGGTAGGAGACACCTGGTCCCCTGCTAGAGCTTCAATTCCCAGAATTTCCTGGGGAGAGGGATTGATTGTTAAACTACTCTTGGAGTTGTAGCTCTGGGAGGGGAATAAGGAGACTAAGGTCTCCAACTCTCAGCATCCTTAACAAATTACAGCTCCCAAGATATAGGGCTGCCATATGTCCGGGAATCAGGCTCTAAAAATGGCGTCCGTGTGGATTTTTGCTGAATCTGCAAAATGTCTGGGAAAACCTGGACATATGGGCAAGTTGTTGTGTTGTTGAGTTGTTTAGTCATGTCCGACTCTTCGTGACCCCATGGACCAGAGCACCCCATGGGCAAGTAGAGCGATTTAAAAAGGGAGATGTTCCCAATAAAGGCCAACAACTTTGACCAGATTTTCACTTTGGGGAATATGGCAACCCTAGGACACACTTCTAATAATTTTAATAATTTGGTTTTTCTTAATTGCACAATAAGCAGGCACGCTGCCAGAAGCACAAGCATGTTCACTAATTCCTTGGTGGATATGAAGTTCAAGGTAGAAGTAAACTGGGGGCAGGATACCTAGTGGACTGCCCCCCCCCAGTACATACCAAGCTGGTTTTGAATATATTCTGAAAAGTCCCTGCAGATCATTCCACAACCAGCCAGTGGTCACAGAAGCCGGCCTTCTCGATGACATCATGCACCCTCTGGAACAGGGGTCTGCAACCCACGGCTCCGGAGCCGCATGTGGCTCTTTTACACCTTTGCCGCGGCTCCGGGGCGGATACTAGCGAGGGGAGGAGGCGCATTGTGCGCCCCGACACTCCCCACTGTGGCGGGCGCTGTACTGGCTGTGACGTTGCATGGGGGCAGTGCGTGTGTTAGTCACACACCGTCCCGACGTCACCTTCCCGCCCGCCCGCCCGCTACCTTGTAAGGGGCATGTACGCTGCCCTTAGGGCACTGTTTTGAAGGGGAGTGAAGAACACACACACACAAAAAAGGTAACTTGTTAATTTAACGTTTATTTCTATGAGGAGGAGTAATTCTGAGGGGTCAAACAAAGAAATAATAAAAAAGTGACAAAAAAGTTATTTTTATAATGACGAGTTTTGCGGCTCCCAGGTTTTTTTTCTTTGGAAACGGGTCCAAGTGGCTCTTTTTGTCTTAAAGGTTGCAGACCCCTGCTCTGGAATGTGCTCCCTCAGGTGATTAAGGAGGCAGATATGGTAATGACCTCTGAACACCTCATGAAAACTTATACCGGTATGTTGTTTACTCCAGATTTCCTGGACTTGGACTCTTAGTTTTTTAATTATCTGTTTTGTAAGCTGCTCAGTTTAATCTGTGATTTGTAGTTCGGGTCTGTTTTTCCTTAGCTTTTAGGAAAGCTTGTACTTTTCTACGAATTGATACCAATGTTTTGTTTGATTGCCTCGGCAATAAAATTTTTTATTAAGTGATATTTTTAAATTAAATAAATAAATTGTGTGATTTACTGTTTTCTAGGACAATTTCTTTCTTCTGAAATTGTGAAAACCAAGCTGTTACAACATCCCCCCCCCCAGGCCCTGCTGTGCACTGTCAATGAAGACTAGAGTTTGTCCACAGAACTGGCATGACATTTTCAAAGTCTGTGATGTCAGGGTAGCCAACGTGGCAAACCTGTAAATCTTGTTGAGCTACAATTCCCATCAGCCCTGTACCCTTGGCCATGCTGGCCAGGGCTGATGGGACCTGTAGTCCAACAAGATATGGAGAGCACCATGTTGGCTACCCCTGCTGTGGGGTGTTCACAAAATCCCATTTGTGCTTCTGCTCAGCGGGCACAATAGGTTTCTTGATAACTTCCAAGCCTGCTTAGAAACGTAGGAACTGCTTTCTACCACACCATACCATGGTCCATCTCGCTCAGTGCTGATTGGCTTCAGGGTTTGGGGCAGGAGTCCTTCCCAGCCCTACTTGAAGATGTCATGGATTGAACTGGAGACCTCCTACATGCAGAGAAATGTTCTAGTGTTGAGTTATGGTCACTCCCCATTTTGTCCATCTAGCTCAGGATAGTCTGCATCAGGGGAAGTGAACCTGGTGCCCTCCAGGTTTCACTGGGCTCCCATCATCCCTGTTGGACACATTGGCTGAGGCTGATGGGAGTTGTAGTCCAACAATATTCAAAGGGCACCATGTTAGTTGTCAGTGGTCTACAATGACTGGCAGTGGCTCTCCATGATTTCAAAAACGGCTGTCTCCCTGCCCTACCTGGAGATGCTGAGGACTGAACCTTCTGCAAGCTAAGCATGTGCACTGCCATTGTGTTACAGATCTTGAGAATGACCAACGATGACGATGGCGGGACAAAGAACATTATTTGAAGCCCTTGTTCCATTAGCAAAAGGATTTCGGCTTGTGCAAAAAAAACTTTCCCCTCTTCTCTCATCTCAGGTGCCATCCACCCTCCCCATATCTGTTTTGAAGAGTTGGGGGGAAACCCCAGAACAGGTTTAGGGGGTGCATGGGGACTGCAATGAATCTGGCTGGTGGTTGGTGGTTTAAGCCCACTCAGGAACAGCTGTGGGCAGGATTCCTGCATTGCAGTGGGTTGGACTAGATGACATTCAGTGTTGCTTCCAAATCTGTGATTCTATGGGGGGAGGTAGAGAACATTCTGTTGCACAAACAGAAATCCTTGCACTAATAGAACGAGCGGCTTAGCGCAGCTTTGGATGCAAGTCAAAATGAAGATGTGTGTTCATCATAGGAAATGATGCCTCCTTCATGCCACTCTTAACTCTTGACTATCTCCTGTCTAACAAAGTAAGAGGCTTTGAGGATCAAGTCTGGTCATCATGAAAAACAAGGAACATCTGACTCATTCAAGGACTTCCTCCAGTTCTCATGAGATGAGTTAATTTTCTGTCCTTGGCATAAAATTACACTCATCCCTGGCAAACTGGGGATCATTAAGGGATCTCTGCTTCCCACGATGGTCTCCAGGAAACCACTTGAGCAAGACGTGAAACCAACAGCCTTTCCTGCTCTTACAACTGTTAGCCAGAAGCGCAAATGTTCTCAAACCTGGACATTTCCCATTCTCATGATCACCTCTCTGAACTGGGTGTCGCACACCCTTTCCTAGGTGGGAAGGGAACTCTTCAGGGCTTGCTTTGTGGACAGGGAGCAGAACTTTCTGCACATGCCCAGAGGCCTTGCCTGGTTTGTCATTCCTTTCCATAAGCTGGCATAGAACCCTGGATCTGGAAATAGGTTCCAAGGCTAAGTCCAGGCGATGATGACTGGCTGAAGTGAAGCTCCTGTTTGCATCTCAGCTCCCAGATTGCAGCCTTACAGCTTTCAAGCTGACAAGGACCCTGATTTTAAATCATTAGTGATGCACTTAAATGGTTCTTCATGGAGGGAGGAGGTCACTGCCCCAAGGACCTTACAATCTAAACAGCAAGCAACAGTTATGAGGGGAGGGGAGAAAAATGTAGAGGCTAGGTGAGCAAAGGGTGACTGGCATTCTGTAAACAGGTTTCACACCAACACAGTAAGGGACATCTGTCAAAGCACTCCTGGGTGAGACTGACACTGACCTGGTCAAGCATTCTGTTTCTAAGCAGATCCCTCTAGAAAGCTCACAAGCCAAGGCTATATGTAGCTCTTCTGAGATGTCTGCCTCCAATATCTGACATCCAGAGTTAGCTCTGAATATGAAAGTCTGAGAGCTGCAAATAGGTAGACCAACAATTCATCCCCTCATCCAGCCCATAATTCTCTAAAAGTCTGGTGGTGACTGGCAATATTTTCTTCCATAGAGTATTGAGGCTGATAGGAGAGATGCAACAAGGCCCAGAGTATGCACCCTTGTTTCCTGTGCTCTACTCTTCCTCCTCCCTCCTGATCTGTTTTCCTTTAGTGTTGTGTCTTTTTAGATTGCAAGCCTTGTCTTTTTCTTTTTTTCCCCCAAAGAAAAAGACAATCGTAAGCTGCTCTGAGAACTTTCTTCTTCTTTTTGGATGAAGAGTGGGAGATTTAATTTATTTTGATAGATAATTTTAAAAAGTAACTAGAGCAAGCAGAATGCTGTAGAAGTCTAGACAACCTGTTCAAGCAGAGAAGACAGTGGGGCAACAAAAAAGCCCTGCAAGGACATCTATGCCTCAATCAGGGCATCTGTGCCGCATGCAGAATGGCATCTCCAGGTAAGGCCAGAATGTCCTCTTCCCGAAATCCTGGAGAGCTGCTGCCAGTCAGTGTAGACAATACTGAGCTAGATCAATGGTTTAACTCTGTGTAAGGCAAATTCCTATGTCTTAAATCCATTGGCTGACTCTTCCCCGCTGCCCCATTCAACCCCACATGACACAGGTGCCATGCATTCCCTCCTTCCTTTTGGCCTCAGGGTCATAGGGATTTGGGAAGCTGCCTTATTCTGAGTCAGACCACCAGGTCCATCTAGATTGGCATTGCCTGCTCTGGCTGGCAGCCGCTCTCAAGGATTTCAGAGGGAGGATGTTCCCAGACCTACCTGGAGAGATGCTGTTGGGGATTGAACCTGGGATCTCCTGCATGCAAGGCAGATGCTCTACCACTGAGCTACCAAGAAGTAGCAAAAACAGACCAGCAGCAGCTCACCTTCAGATTAAAGCTGGATCGCCATGGGACCTCTTGGCACGACACAGTCACTTGACAGCCACACATCCACAACTGTTTCCACCTTCGGGCTGCCGAGAGTCCCTCTCCAAGGCCTCCCTCCCCAGATCGAAGCAGGGAGTGAGCAACAAGGAGGGCTCCCCCCCCCCTTCTCTCTCACCGCTGGGAACAAAGAGGCGTCTGCTTGCTCCCCACAGCTGCAGGTCACTCCGATTTGACTTGAATGAATGAGGCAGAGGAAGAGGAACTCCCGTTCCCTGAGACTTTCGCCAGCTGAGCTCTTGCCAAACTCCTTGTAAGGAAAGCTGCTGCCTCTCCTGGCCTCTGATGGACAGAGTTTCCCATCAGCAAAGGGCAGGCTTAAGAGGAGGAGGCCTTTTCTTCTGGGCGAATAATCAACATCATATAAAAGATGCCCAGAAAGGGGGAAGGGAATCTTTCTGGCTTCATTCTTAAAGTAGAACCACCTACATGTCCCCACCGCAGCAGAGCCATCTTTTTGAGCCTACCCTGTGTCGCAGGTTGATAATAAAGCTTTCCTGAGATTTTCACCATACAATAAAAGGCACCCACAACCCACACAAAGAATAATAAAAAGAAGATAGAAACAGACAAGATTTTCTCTCACAAGTGCATCCCATCCTTTGTCCCATACAGAAAAATATATGCCCCCCCCCCAGCTATCACCTAGGAACATCTTTTTCTTCCGACAGGCTCTCATCCTGGGAGATCTCCCCTTCCCTCTCTCACACAGGGTGCTTCAAACTGTCCACCAACTCCATCTGCGTGCAATTCTTACCCAAATACAGGTTGATTAATTTAGGCAATTAAGAGATGAAATGATAATATGTTTATATCATTATGCATGGCAAGGAGAAAGTTGGTAGAGACAAGGGCAGTGGCGTAGGAAGGGGGGCAGAGGGGGCGGGCCATCCTGAGTGCCGCTCTGGGAGGGGTGACAAGATGGCCCCTGCCTCCCCCCAGCTATAGAGTGGCTGAGGGTGCCCGCAGTCTGCATGGGTGCCACCCTTGCCTTGTACGTGAGCTGTAGATAGGGCCATGCACCTGTTAGAAGGGCTCCCCAAATTTTTGGATGCATTTGGATATCTAACAGTATGTTTTGGGCACTACAAAATGCCCATTTCGCAGAAGGAAAAGTGGTGAGGCTCAGACTCCTCTCCTCCAAACAGGCATACGCCCCCAAACAAATAAAACACAGAACATAAAGTAGAAGCAGGCACCTCCAACCAAATAGCCCCACCAAGGGCCAATCTAGCTCAGTATTGCCTACACTGGCTGGCAGCAGCTCACCATTCACACTTGGAGGTGTCACAGATTGAACTTCGAACCTTCTGCATGCAAAGCAGATTTTCTACCATGGAGCCACAGTCCTTCTACACAACTATTACAAATTGTGGTAGGCATATTAGTCCTTGCGGTGGACTGTGCAAGTCCTTGCGTACGGACTGCGCATGTGCCCAGGGTGCCGGAGAGGGTTCCTCCACCACTGGACAAGGGTTGTTGTAGTTGTTGTTTTCTTTCTTTCTTTCTTTCTTTCTTTCTTTCTTTCTTTCTTTCTTTCTTCCTTCCTTCCTTCCTTCCTTCCTTCCTTCCTTCCTTCCTTCCTTCCTTCCTTCTTTCTTTCTTTCTTTCTTTCTCTCTCATGACACTAGAATTTATGGGCATCCATAAGTTGGATGATTCAGGACAGAGAAAAGAAAGGACTTCTTCATACAGTTGCACAGTTAAACTGTGGAACTCACCCCCATAGGAGGCAGCGATGACCACCAACTTGGATGGCTTTAAAGGAGGAATGCTGAAATTTAGGGAGGAGAAGTCTATCAATGGCTACTAGCCAGGAAGGCTGTGCTCTGCCTCCATAGTCAGAGGCAGGAATGCTTCTGAATGCCAGTGGCTGTGAATCGCAGGAGGTCCTGCTTGTGGGTTTCCTACAGACCTCTGGTTGGCCACTGTGAGACCAGGATGCTGGGCTGGTGGGGCCTTTGGTCTGATCCAGCAGGCTCTACTGACATCCTTATTTTTTCAAAGTTTGAAGTGAGCACTTGCCAGCTCTTTATTTGGACAGCTCAATCACGGTAAGGCAGCAGCGTCGAGAGACGGCTTGGCTCAGGGAAGTGACCCCGACGGCATCTGTCGCCAGGGCGGGGAGGACTTTGCAAAGCAACGGAGCATAAATATTTAGGAAGGTAAAAGCACTGCCATCCCTTTCGTCATGCCAACATGCACCTTTGGGTTGGCGTCTCTGTTTTGTTTTCTATTCCTGGACTCAGAGCAGGGCTCCTCTTGGCTTGGATCGGGGCATGTGTTTTGCATGCAGAAGGTCCCAGGTTCAGACCCCAAGAGCTCCGGTTAGAAGGACCAGAACTTGTCAGGTCAGGAGAGAGCTCAGTCTTTCAGAGAGATGCTTTTTGTCCGCGTAGGCAGAAGCAGCTCAAGGCTTGGCGAACTAACAGAGGATGGGGACTCCCATTGTTAGACTCCCATCAGCCCCAACCAGCATAGGAGTCAGGGAAGATGGGAATTGCCGAATCAGAGAACTGTAGAGTTGGAAGGGGCCCTGAGGGTCATCTAGTCCAACCCCCTGCAACGCAGGAATCTTTTGCCCAACGTGGGGCTCAAACCCATGACCCTGAGATTAAGAGTCTCATGCTCTACAGACTGAGCTATCCCAGGTATCCTTCCTATTCCAGCAATATTTGGAAGGAGCTGCGTACGCTGGCTATGCCTGGACTAATGGTCTGTTTTGCTGGCAGCTCTGCTGACAAGAGTGTCCCCTGAGGACAGTTGCAAGTCATGGGAGAGGTCAAGGCTTGCTTGCAAGTGGAAACTGTTCAGTGTGCAGCAACACCACATCGAAGGGAGCGTGCTCAGTGGATTGCTCAACACAGATGGAAAAGCCCTTGCCTTGTACGTGAGCTTTAAGTTAGGGCCGTGCACCTGTTAGAGCAGGGCTCCCCAACTTTTTTGCATGCATTTGGAAATCTAACAGTATGTTTTGGGCACTACAAAATGCCCATTTTGCAGAAGGAAAAGTGGTGAGGCTCAGACTCCCCTCCTCCAAACAGGCATACACCCCCAAACAAATAAAACGCAGAACATAAAGTGGAAGCAGGCAACCCTCCAAGCAGGCACCCCCAACCAAATAGCCCCACCAAGGGCCAATCTAGCTCAGTATTGCCTACACTGGCTGGCAGCAGCTCACCATTCATACTTGGAGGTGTCACGGATCGAACTTCAAAGCTTCTGCATGCAAAGCAGACTTTCTACCATGGAGCCACAGTCCTTCTACACAACTATTCAAAATTGTGGTAGGCATATTAGTCCTTGCGGTGGGCAGAGCAGTGAATCCAAGAGCACAATATTTTCATTGGGACCAACTAAGAAGTCACAACAACTTGGCTGAGTCCTTGTATCGTGCTTGCTGTTTGTGTAATGCTGCTGTTGCTTTTGGATGTCATTTACCAAAAGTGGAAGGATCCTGCAGTCCTCCTTAGCATCTCCGCACTCTATTGCCTAGCTTTAACACAGCCTTCCCCAACCTGGTGCCCTCTGGCTTTCTTGGACTACACCTCCCATTTGCCCCGGCCAAGATGGCCATGCTGGTTGGGGCTGATGGGAGTTGTAGTGCAAAGCAGCTGGAGGGCACCAGGCTGGGGAAGGCGGCTTTAATATCTGGCTATGGTGGTTGATGTCCAAGAAGGGAAACTGGGGCACCTTCCACTTCCCCCAACATTCTTATAGGGATACAAGGGTGCTCACCTGGGCCACAGGTTATGGGTGCCCAATGGCGCCTGCGACGTAACGTGACATCATAAGAACATAAGAGCTTGATGGGTCTGGCCAGGGACCCATCTATTCCAGCATCCTGTTCTCACAGTGGTCAACTAGATGCCTGTAAGCAGGACCTGAGCACAAGAGCCCCTCCTGAGGTTTCCAGGACCTGGGGAGGCAGAACATGGACATAGTGGCTAGCAGCCATTGACAACCTTCTTCTCCATGAATTTGTCTAATTCATTCATTCATTCATTTATACATACATACATACATACATACATACAGCGACTTTTTCCCTGACAGGAATTCAAGGCAGGCTATAGATAAGAACAAGTCACAACACAGAAAAAAACCAGTAATTAAAAGCCATTAAGCATTAATTGAATTAAAACTACTGATGATTACCATAAAAACAGCGTGACACCAGCCCTTTCATTAAAAGCAGTCAGTTCCCACAAGTCTATTGGAAAACGAAGGACAACAAAGAGGGAGCCTGTATAGCTTTTCTAGGGAGGGAGTTCCAGAGTCTAGGTCTGGAGCAGCCACCAAAAAGGCCCTCTCCTGTGTCCCCACCTCCTGTGTCCTTATTTTCATGGGAGAAATTTTGGAGGATATGGAGTTATCCAACCCCTGGGTCATCTGAAAGGAGCCCTGTATAGGGATTCTTTTTAATGTTTAATTTTTATTATGTTTCTTATATGTTGGAAGCCGCCCAGAATGGCTGAGGCAACCCAATCAGATAGGCAGGGTATAAATAGTAAAGCAGTAGTAAAACAGTAGTTGTAGTAAAACAGTAGTAACTGTGTAGTAACATTATAGTACAGTACTAAAGTTATGGTAAAGTGATAGTAAAGTTGTAGTGACATTGGAAAACTGACCGCTGGGGCTACCCAGTCAGACGGGCAGCACATATATAGTAAAGCTGTAGTAAAGCAGCAGCAGTAGTAAAACAGTAGTGGTAGTAATAATAGTAAAGCAGTAGTAGTAATACTAAAGTAGTAGTATTAAATCAGTGGGAAAATAGTAGCAGTAAAGCAGTAGTAAAGTTATACTAAAGTTATAGTAAAGTTGTATTAGAGTCGTAAGTAAAATGGTATCAAAGTAGTACTAGAAAAGTAGTAGAAAAGTATTGTAGTAGTTGTATAGGATGCCCCTATTTTCATCAGAGAAATGTTGTAGGGTATGCACTCTTGTCAGAGGTCTCAGTCTTGCTTTGACAGGATGCAATTATGGGGGGGGGGGACACCGCAAACAAGGGCAACACAGATAAGAGTGGAGTGCTTTGCAGTGACATCACATGGATTCTCCATAAGGAATGACCAAGCAAATGATGTCCTAAATGACCAGTGTGGAATCAGACAAAGAAGAGGAGAGGAGGGAAAGGGGCGCTCTATCACACTTTGCTGCTCACGAATTCTGGCAGACACCCTCCTCCTTCTGACACTGCAGGCTAAACACTGGAAGATTTACTTGAGTGCGTGTGCGATCTAATTGCAGCCATAAAACCTCCTGGAATGAAAAAGAGGAAACTGGGACACTTAATCTTCTTCCCTGCAAGGAGAAGAGAGATTCACTCTCAGGGAAGGCAGCAGCGGAAAGAAGAAAACCCAGCGGCCGGTAGCAGAGCTGAGCCAAAATTTCTCAAAGGACGTTTTTCCTGAGAATTGCTT